ATATAACTTTGGGTGAGAGTTCATTCCACTCTTACCACCCTAGTGCTCTGATATCTCATGTTACAGCTGAGAAAACTGTAGTTCAATGTCTTACTCAAGGTCACAAAGCTAGTGACAAAGTCCAATTTGCTCTTTTCATCACACTGCGACCACTCTAGATCAGAATATCACCAACTCAAATGGAAAATTTCCACATCTCTAGGATAAAAATACAAAATCCTCAGCCTGGCATTTAAAGTTTTACATAATATGTCTTCCAGGTCTAATTTCCTATTATTCTTCTTTATATACTCTCCAGTCCAACGGCTTAGCTGTTTCCCATAAACAACGCTCAATCTCCTGCCTCCGTACTGGCCCAGCATAGCACCTGGCAAATAACAGCACCTTAGTAAATATTTCTTGTTGGATGGAAATCAGAAATGCTTAGCCATTAAAAAAATAAAAAGGCTTAAGTTGCTCGTTTCAGTTAAAGGGATAAATTGCTGATTTTTGGTCTAAGATGAGGCTCCAATTTCTAATCCATGACTATCCCCTGAATCTGATCAGAACTGCAGATATTACATACTGTTTTGGAAAACTCTTGGACAGATTGTTTTTAGTAAAAGGGATCTCCAGCTTTATTAAGCAGAGAGGGGCTTGTGACTTCTAAAATAAATGCTTTCTCTTCAGTCCTGCACAGATCAAGAATTCACAGCATAGACTTTTCAACTTCTGGCTCAGAAATCCTGTTCCCCTGAAGGCATGAGAGATTCTGAAGCAAAAAACACCACCTTGGGGTGGACAGAAGCCAGCTAGGAAGGACTCGGAGCCAAAATTAAGGAAATTCCTTGATTTTTCAGTGTGGAAACCAGCTGTCTTAAAATGATTTTTGAAATTCTTTTGTGCTGTTATTTATACTCAATAATAACATGCTCATTATATGCTGAGTCCTGTGCTACGCACTGATAGGGATGCCATGATAAACTTGATGCTAACAGAAATTGTGTGGTCTAGGAGAGAGATCCATATAAACAAATGAGAGAAGGGGAATTATACATGAGTTACTAGGAGGGAGAGGGCACAGAAGTGATCAGGGAGCTCTTATTGGAAGTGCCATTTCAGCCAGGCCTGGAATTGGATGAGTCTTCTGTGGCCATCTCGTTCAATCCATCCACACCCCAAAAGAAATCCTCTATAATATACCCGACAGGTGGCCAACCAGCCTTTGCTTGAAGACTTCCGAGGAAAGGTAGAATTTCAAGGTGCAAGGTAGCCTCCTACACATTGGAAAGAGTGAAGGCAGATGGAGAGGTAAGGAAGGTGTGGAGGGTTTGAGGGCCATTTTCCCTTCCTCAAGTGGGATTGATGGGGAATAAGCCTAGAAGAGTACGTGGCAGCCAGATGATGGCAAGTTCAGATTTGACTTCATAATGGGTCCTCTATTTAGCCTTCTGATCCCAAGTACAGAAATTTTATTTTGGGAGATAAAAACATTCTGGGACACAGAGTCATAGGAAGAGGTCCCAGTAGATATTGGCAGAACTACAGTATAGTCTCTCTTTACTGACTGGGAGGAATGATTAGGAACTGACTGCTTAATTAACAGTGGGCCACAGCAGTTATTCTTATTTGCCAGGAGGAGTACATTCGTAACAACGTCAACCCGTCATGGAATAAGAATGACTCCGGAGCCTCCATTCCGACCCAAGGAGCCCTGGGATCCTCCCTAAGCAGAGGCCCAGTGAGGACTATAGGACCAGCCTCTGGAGAGGCTCATCGCCACAAGGTTACCTATTAGGACACTAGGTGATGTCAGCCACAGGCCTCACGAGGAGTCATTTCTGGAGATACAAGTAGTGCCCAACCCAGTCCAGCTCGGACTCAGAGGAGGGGTGAGCAGGGTACCTGTTTTAGCTTCAGGCCACCTAGTTGGAGCTCCTTCCTGCCCATGATGACTGTCAGCAAGCTGTCTCGCATGCACCCTCCCAAGTGGCTCAATCTGATGCTGCAGACACGTAGTGCTGAACAGGCCATCCTTCCCTTTTGCAGGGAGTTGCTGCTTTGCAAGGGTCCCATTTCTGGATCTCATGGTGACAGCTGTAGGAGATGTGGGGCACCTGCTGGCAGAGTGGGGTTCCTTCCTCAAAGGATTTCAAACCAAGGCCAGGATAGCACAGTCACTCCTGTTTGGCATTTAAGGTCCTACATGATTTTTCTAGGTTGATTCTACATCACTCACGCCCTGAACTCCATGGTCTAGGTTTCTGGGCCTACTTGTTCTACCCCATACAACATGCCATTTTTGGCCTCTAAAACGAGGCATTTTCAGATGCCTTCACTATTAGTGCCTCCTCTTCCCACAAAATTACTTTGTATTGCTGGACAGATGCACATGCTTTTCTCTTGGGCGTCAGGAACTCTAAAACTCCTAGCTCCTGGTACAAGTAAACACACAGCAGGTGTTTACTAAATGCTTGTTGAATGAAAGAAAAAAAAGCCAAGTTTGGTTTTCCATCTTTTTATTCATCTTCCATCTTTGGGGAGCTTTTCCTTTCATCTCTTGAACAAGGCAACACCCCAGAGACATCACTGGGTCTTTAGTATATTATACAGTAGGTTACAAAGGACAGGAGGTCCGCTCATCCTGATGAAGACCTTGCATACTACAAATAAGCACTGTCTACATACAGTACAGGTCTGTGCAGCACAGCTTTGCTCTATGTATAAAACGGCCTGACACCCCAGAGTGGCCTGAATGGAGGTCTCCTTTTTGAGGATGCTGACAGCATTTGGGGAAGGAGTGGCAGAAGAATCAACACCACGCTACACATAGGATGACGAAGAAAGCTTTCACATCACACACAATTCAGGGGGACAGAATGCTGCAGATTTGAAGACAGCCAACAATTCAGTAGGCTCTCAATTCATTGTAGTTAATTGCATAGTTGAAATACACTGTCCCAGCAGCAGGCCTGTAGCTATTATTTATGAAATGAGAGCTTTACTAGGCAAGGGAGTCTATCTGAGACAGCAGCTGCCTACAAATGCCCAGTTAGGCCTTTCTCTTGTTTTCTAAAACAGAACTAGAAGGGTCACATCCATGAGAAGAGGACAGACCTTGCCTGATGACCTCACAGCCAGCTGTACCTTCTCAGACAAACGGGACGGTTTAGGTCAGTCCCATGGCGTTGGGACACACGTGGTCTACAAATTTCATCTGCTCGCTGATTCAGTGCAAGATCTTATGGTTCTGCAGCGTTTTTTTTTTTGAGGGGTAGGGGGAAAGATGGGGAATAGGACACATTCCATTTAAAAACTGTCCTGGTACTACTTCATAACATACTGATAAGTTGGAGCATATGTTACTGCTTTAGGCCCTTAGAGATCTTCTAATCCAAACCCCTCACTGCATGGGGTAAGAAATTGAGGCCCAGAGAGGTTGTGATTTTCCCCAATTTGTGAGAGCCCCTGCCTCAGGACAGGTTTGCATATTGCACTGTCTAAGAATAAGCTCAATTTCATGTTACCAGAATCTAGTTTAGGGAGAAACACTCAATTAGGTAGATCTATTCAAACCCCAGCCCAGGCCCTCATCCTCTTGTGTGGGCAGTACAATCTTCTCCTCCAGGGTCTCCCTGTATGCAGCCAATCTCTTCCCTAACACATCTTCCATGTTGCTGCCAAAGTCATTCTTCTGGAGCAGAGATATGACTAGGTCGCTCCTCTGATCAAGAAGCTTCAGGGGCTCCACACTGACCTCAGAACAAAACAACGCCTTTACTGGGCATTAAAGCCTTCACCATCTGATCCAGTCTACCCTCCAAGGCTGATCGCACATCACTACCCCTCACACACTCTACATTCTGACCTCCCAGGCTTACTTGTTCACTTCTCATACGTGATCATTAAACATGCCATGGTCTCCTAAAAAATACAGGGCAGTTACTATGTCACATTCATATGTAAAGCCTGAGTACCTAGCATAGCACCTGGTAAATACTTGCTGATTGATTATTAATTAAGATGCTGGGGAGGAGGGAGGAGGCAAGGAGGAATGGAATTAATCAAATTTTCTTTGTAATTGAGGATTAAACCGAATGCCCTAATTCCAATCAATCAACTAATCAGAATTTATGCCTTAGTAAGTATTATAATTGGTTTGTCCAACTAAGCGCCTTGCAGGGATCTTCCTTTGGATGGGTGATCAATCCCCACTGCAGATGAGGAAAGTCTTTCCCAAACACTGACTGACCCTAGAACGGACCCTGGAATTCAAATAAAACCAAACAAAAAGAAATAGTGGAATTCCAGAACTCGGTACCCTCTTTTGTCTTTTGCCTCTCGCTTAGAAACAACAGCTCACAGCAAAAAGAGTTTTAATAAAGGTGAAATCATGAATGTGGAGAGTCTTCTGCAGCCAAGGGACCAGCTCGACTCGATGCTCCTCAGTTTTCCCTTTATTCTAACAGCAAGCGGCTACACGTGGACTAGACCTTTGGCTCTTGATTTCTTTCAGTCTCTAAGGCAAAAAGGGCACTCGTGTGCGCACGCATGCACACACACACACACACACACACTCACTCACACACACACACACACACACACACACACACACCCCCGCCCCACACCCTTATGCCGAAGGGCTTTTATCTGCTGCCCATCTATCTTCCATCCCACCACCGACCTGGCCCCCTTCCTTATTGGGAGCAAAACAAACAAACAAAAAACTTCATGAGATTAAATGGAAAGAACAATGGTGGCTGGGGGAAAACAGTGAAGAAATTCACAGACCTCCAACCTCACTACCCAGACACACCTTTTAGCCACCCTTTGGTGAGTGTCCTCTAGGTGAGAGCCCAAAGCGCTCTGACTGCACGCGGGTTTATGTGATTGATTCGTATGCTACGATCTGGACGTCTTTACTAGATAAAACACTGGTATCATAGCCGCCGTTGCTGCCAGAACAGTAGATTGGGTAATTGTAAAACTTTGCAGGTGGATTTTCACAAATGCCATTTTACCTTAAAAATGAAAATGTCCCGTTATAAAACGATCACAGTAACAGCTGCGGTGGGCACACAGGGCAGCCCTCTCCTGCTGTGCCCTTCGCTGGTTTGCTTCTGTAACGGGAAAGGAACAACTTCTCTATCTGAATCAAGAATTCCTCAGCAACATGGCAGTTGCTCACTTTGCCCAAAGTCTTCTTTAGACACGCCAAGAGCTGGTTTAAAAGAAAGTGCTCATTGTCAGGGCATTACAGAATGGATGGATTCAATGCCTTGCAGAAGCATCACTTCATAGGTTTTCAGGTCTCCAAGGCTACAGGAGTGCTTGGAGAATGCTGGGGAGGGGATGCGTGGTCAGGTAAAGGTTGGACAAGATGGCATGGAGGGAAGTCCCAGTAAGGTCTAGAACTGTGATCCTGACCCCTTTTGTGACTTGGTGACTATGTGACCCACAACATTTAGTTCTACCAAATAACTTCTGTACCAGATTGAAAATACATTTAAAATGCCCTATCCCAAATGAAGCTTTAAAAAACTCAATGTGCCTTGACTGGTCTCAACTCCTCAGACAAGAACAAAGACTCAGGGGTGACAGAAAACCAAAGCTACTTTCATTTCCTCTCTCTGAGTTAACTCTAGCACCCAGGTCAGGAATTACAAACTGACAAGACCACAGGTTTGGAAGGGCTCCCCCAGGCCGCCCCTGAGCATCCTGCCTGGGCTTCCCAGAGGAGCCCGTCTTCCGATTCTGAGCAGCGCTCGCCATTCGCTGTTTTCAGAGTCCAGGGGGCCAGATTCTCTCTTTGGAGGCTCATCAGGATACAGCTAAGTCTGATCCCAAGCTAGCACCTCAAAGATATCTCTTTAGGATTAACACCTGTGCTCTTTGCCACGTCTCATCTTAATTCTGCTTGTCCTTCCCTGGGGCTGGTTCAGCTGATCAGGGTCCTTTCTACACTGCGATGACCAATACCGGACATGGTGCCCTGACTGGACAGGGTCTGAGCAGGGTGAAGGACAGGCTGACCTGTCACTGTCCTTTCTGTGGGCATCTACTGATGCTGCCTCTGCTGACTGATCCCAGGCTCATTCAGGCCAATAACACATAGCTTGCTCAAATTCGATAACACAGGTACAGAGCTCTGCATACCTTAGAGTGCACATAAACGCTTATTATACCATCCCTGTCACCAGCTATCTAAACTGGCTTCTACCCACTGGTCTACCATCCTGCTCTGGTATACAGAACTGACTTTTGTGTCCCGACTCTGTCATTTCATTGTGTTAGTTATGCCTTCCAGCTCTACGAAAACTCACGGATGTTATGGAAGTCATTGATAAAAATGCTGAACAGGAAAGAGCCAATTTACAATTCAACTGTGAGGTTGAGGCTACCTGTCCTAAAGTGATCAAATGCAAAGCTGAGATTTAACCATAATGCTTTTTATACTTAAGAAAATAAGAAAAATGTTATCTACTATATGTGATGGTAATCTGTTGGAAGTTTATCCCTGAGTGCTAACAAGTGTGTATTCTAAGGCATCATCATTTCATATGTAAGCCTGGGCACCAAAACACATTTCTAATTATCTCTTGGAAATTAATTTTAGAAAGGGAGAAGTAATAAAAGGAAATATACAGCAAATTCATCCATGAAGCATTTGGCACCATGGGATAACACACAGAGATGAATAGCTTCAGATACTGTGAACAATGAAACCAATTTTTAAAAGGCAGCTTACTTTTTGCAAACAAGTCAGGTCAGACTCCCGGTGAAAGATTTTATCCATAGGGACACCGCTGTAGGAAGAATATGAAAAGAAAGTAAGGAAACAAATAACATGAACTAATCAGCTCTGGGGTGGGATGGGTCCAATTTTACATTTAACTTGGGCTTTCTTTAAAGCATGACTTAATGAGGATACACGATAGCTCTATAGTCAGAGACTATACCTCGGGGAGAGGCGGTATTTTTCAATCATCCACCTTGTTTTTTCAAACACCAATTCCCATCGAGGCTCTCCTAACATCTGCTGTACTTCGAATTTGTAAGGCACACCTAGGAAAAAGCACACCAGTATAATTTCCATCAACCACTGCTCTTTATTTACAATGAGCGAGATGAGGATTCTTACATCTCCAGCCTGACCAACTTCCCAGGGCCTGGCTGGGTCCTGTCACACAATAGGCCAGGACTGAAAAATTCTATTTCACCAAAATATAAAATAAGTAACAATAGGTTACCATTATGTGGTGCTTTAAGGTTTACCAAGGGCTTTCCCTACCAAAAACTCAGTTCACAGATGAGGGAAATTCAGTCTTGGAGAAGCAAAGGGATTTGCCCTGGAGGAGCACAGCAAGCAGCCCACCCAGGATCTGAACCCCATCTTCCTGGCTTCTTACACAAAGCCTCTTTGAGGTTCAGAAGGGAGGGAGACGGGCTCAAGGGGAGGATGCCATACATTGGAGAATGAAGGTCAGGAAACGTACTAGAAGAGGAGGAATGGGGAAGGATGAGCCGTAAATGAATGGGTTCCGGTCTAGTAAGGGCTCAAATAGAGAGACAACCCTTTCTCTGCCCTGCCTCCACAGTAGACATGCATGTATGCATATATGTATATACGTATACTTATGAAATAAATTATATATAAATTTACATATAAAACAATTATAAATATGCATCTATAAACCCAAATATAACTAAATCTGATTATTTAAAAAATTCTGCCTTTTTAGTTAGCCAATTAGCACGGATCTATTCAGTGCCTATAGATGGCAAGGCACTGCACTGGCTACTGGAGATACAGAGTAAGATTGGCCCTGCCCTCAAGAAGCTCACGTTCTACTCCTGATCAGATATGCAGGATGTATACAAAATAAACTGGAGGTGGGTGGGTGGGAGGGAGAGCACAGGGAAGTAATGACCGAGGGAAGGCCTCTAAAAGGAGGATTCATCCATTAGTCTTAAACTAATGTTTTGTTCATTCCTTCAATCTGCCCAGCACAGTCCCAGGCAATCTTTCTCTGATTTTTTGGTTCTCCAGATGAGGCACATTAAGTAAAGAGCCCTTAAACTGAAGTTACATTCAAAGGTCTTTTCTTGAAAGTTTAGTAAACAAAATCAAGGGTGCTCTGCAGGGCCAAAAACAATGGGGGAAATCAGGAAGAAGGAGGAGACCATGATGCCCCAGGATACTCTTTGAAACCCATTCAGATGAGGGAAATTCATTTGTTAAGCACTTATTCACCACCTCCTGGGTAAATCTCAATTTTAACTAAGATAGGAAGGAGGAAGAAAAGGAAGAAATGAACTCCATTTATGGTCCCACAGAGTTGAAGGAGAATATAACTATGGAAACATCAACAGCTCCTCAAAATATCAAACCACATCATTAAAAAGATTTTTCTGATGTGAAATACTGCGTGTAAACCAACGAAAACTACCTTCCAGACATAACATTTTCATCCACTAAAGTATTCAGAAAAAGCAAAGCACCTGGGCTCATATCCTGCCTATTAATAATAAGCAAAGTGCTTAATCAAAAAGACTGAAGACGTTATAAAGAGAATTAAAAATTAAAACACAGAAAATTATTTTTCCAAGGCACTTAGTTTCTCAAGGAATGCTCAAATGTGACTTTAATTCAGAGCTTGCTCCCTCCTCCAAGGCCCATGACAAAGCTGCAGGACAAGGGTTATCATCTCCTTTTCAGAGATGTGCAAAGAGAAGTTAACGGGCCTTCCCACTGTCGCACAGCAAGGAGAAAAGCTGGTTTCTGACTATCGGTCCAGCGCTCCTCTTTGGTCAGTGACTAAAGGAAGCCTGACTTAGCGGATCAGTCATCTGGAAATTACCAAGTAATCTCCGATGAAATAATGCCACACCGGGTTTTGGATGGGGCTGTGTTTGGCACTGCTGTGAAGATGAGCCCTCTGCCAGGGCACCTGCTCTGAAATGGCATCTTGGGGACTGACTGCCAGGTTCTGGACCTGGGGCTGAGGGTGTCCGAGGCAGGACCCAGGCCCAGGGCTTCCTGCCCCGAGGCCTGCTCTCTCCCCACTATCCTAGACTGGCATACGCTGGAGTATTTATGTCCATGTCTTAGTCCTGCACCCAACTTTGAGCTTCAGGAGGGAAAGAACCAGCATCTTACTAGATATATTTAAAGCTTGAAGCCATATTATGGATGAGGAACATGAGGCCTGAAGTCAGCAGATTTGCCCAATGGCTCCCTGGGAGCAATAACAGAGCTGGGGTCTGTCCCCAAGCTTCCTGACTTGGCTACACCATTCCCTCCCATTTCTGATGCCCCTTTCTTTCTCTGAGTAGACAGGACCACCCACCCACAGAGAGTCCTGGCTCAGCCTGTCCTCCCCAACAAGGTGTTCTGTGACCATCCTCCCAGCACAATCAAGCTCTGAATCCATCACGCTGCCACGATTAAACAAGCATTCAGGAGATATGTTTAGGGACCTCCTTTGTGCCAGGCCTCATGGAACAAACAGCTTTCCACAGAGATCTGCACTTTAAAGAAGAGGATGCTGGCAAACCATGGCGATCAACAGCCTTGCCCGGGTACCATTTCAGGCAGTGTCACATCCAGGAATCAGCCACATCTTTCTGGCTGGTGCCTTGCTTTCTCTGGGAGACCCCTGCTTGGCACCACTTCCCTCCTTCCTGAATTCAGGGACCCCTCAGACCTCTAAATGTTTTTCCCAGGGCTGCCACAGGAGTTGGGACAGCCATCTCTAAGTCTGCGTTGTCGAACCTCTGTTCATACCATAAAAACTCCCTTGGGGGCAAAAATTCCCTATCAGTCAATTCTTCTGCTTTTAAAATTCCAAGTACTGAGGACAGGAAATGGGAGGGAGTTTTCATCTGATACTTACGGTAAGAACCATTTGAACTAATTTCATCACTTATAACCAGGCAGGTAATTTGGGAATATGGTAAAGGATTGTTTCGATTATATGGGCTAATGATCATCCCAATGAACACTGCTCCACCTCTAGAGAAATAACTCTAAAACAAAGAGGAAAAAAAAACAGGAAAACGCTGAGTTACAACCATATAATTTAAGAAGTAAGTGTTTATCCCCACCAGTAAACGTAATGAAAATCCACAGAAAAGCAGGAAAAAACCACCCAATTTGCTCTTAGCATCAGAAACAAGCCGGCACCTCCTTATTCTGGAGTTGCTATAAATAAGAAATCTCGGCCTTCAGGAGACTGGGGAGTAACAAGCCAAGGGGGCAGGTGGGTGAGCAGGTGCTTCTGGCCGAGGACAAGCCGGGAGCTGCGAGGTCTGCTCAGTCTGGGGTGAGGTGCAATCTCGTGCCGCCCTCCTTCACCCTGGGTTAGCTGAAGGTGAATGAAGGCTGGCCTCAGAACTGCTCAGAGTGAGGGGACAGCGAAGGATTGGTGATCTGTGGCAAGCTGTTGTGGGCACCACAAGCAGAGCAAGAAGGGAAGGATCTGGAAGGGTTTGCCGAAGCCAAGCTGTGGAGCTGAAATTTAAAATACACAAATAATCCCATATGTAGGAGAGGCAGCAAGGCGTAGCGGGCAGAGGGTAGGCCTTTGGGGCCAGAAAGGCCTGGATGCAAGCTGTGTTGTTGCCATGTACCAACTGTGTGACCAGGGCTAGTCACCCCACCCTCAGGGCGCAGCGGGCAACCAACCGTCCGAGCCGTGGCCTGGCAGCATCACCAGATGGCATTTCCTCACTATAAGTGACCACCCCCATGAAATCATGCACTCTTCCAGATAACCTTGGAGAGCCTGTCCCAGATGTTCCATTGAAAGGAGGGGGCCCAGGACAAACACCCATCATCTCCCATCCCACTGCTCTCCCCCCAAGCACCAGGTACCCCCTCTCCCCACATGTTTCAGCTTCTTTTCATGTGTTCTCCCTCTCATTAGATTGTGGGCTCCTTGAGGGCAGGGCTGGTCTTCTGCCTTTCTTTCTGTCTACCTCCAGAACTCAGCACAGTGCCTGGCACATAACAGGCACCTGACAAATGTTTCTTGTTTGATTCGCATTCTCACACACACACCTGGTACTTGGCCTGGGTGTCAATATCTCGAAGCGAAGGGTTCGGATCAAAGGCAGGATGAGAGTGGTACCAACCAATGACGCTGTACCCTCGGTCGGCCAGGGTCTCTGATGCTTGGGTTTGGGATACAGGGTCCATCTCGCACTGCAGTCCCGTGCTCAGACTGTTACAGGGCTCAGCTGCACAGACCTATCAATGACAATCCTCTAAGATTACACTTGAATGTTAATCACGTTTAAGCTCATGCCTTCTCTCCCATACACAAGTGACATAAAATAATCCTGGCTTCACATGCCTCTTTCTCTTACTAGGCATAAATCACACTACCTGGCTGTGAGGTGCTCACTTGGACATGTCTCCCAAGAAAGAAGGCAGGCCATGAGGGCTGAGGCACTGGAGGTGTCTTCTCAGGCACACACACACTCCCATGTTCCAACCAGACACAGGTGCAATCATACTGCCCCATCCTCCGTGGGCTCCTCTTTATCCCACCATGGTTCTCATGGTCCTGGGCTGAGACATGTTTATTCACTCTCCACAGGAAGATAAATCCACTTCTCTGAAACAGGGAGCCCAGGCCTGAAGACCCCACCTACACAAGGGGCTGCCGGTGGCCTCCTCCAAAGTAAGTTTGTCTATGAAAAAGGGGTTACTAAAGTTGTCCTCTGCCTCGATATTCCCTGAACTTCATGAAAAGAAGGGTGGGAAACAAAACGTCAGGGAGTTCAAGGATGAAAAGCTAACTTACCTCAATCACCTTCTCAGCTTCCAAATATCTTCCTCCTAAGAGACCAATCACTTCTGCCATGGAAACATGAGCATGCTAGAAGTAACAAGAACACATTCAGACAAAGCACACACCGACAGGGTACATGCACAATCAAGATCAGTAATCTGGAGAAGGCACTTGCTGAGAGAGGCAGCAAGGCCCACGGCTTGGGGACTGCCTGGAGGATCTAGGCAAACACGGACACTCCCTGGGCCTTAATGTTCCCCTCCTAACACAGGGCTGCCTGCCACCATGGCCTCACGCCCATCCCCCGATGTTAGAGGGATAGGTGCAATCAGACTACTGAAAGCTCTATGTTTGAAAGAAAAGCCCCAGCCCCTGGAGGAGTGAGGCAAGCGGAGAAATCTCTGCGACGCTTCAGAGACAAGATCCTCCCAAACTACGGGGGGCTGGTTTTGCTGCAGTTATTCTCCAGGCAGCAGCCGTGGGATATTTGGATAGAAATGAAACTTAATGGGATAACAATGATGATAAACAGTCTGCAAAAACTCACATTAATTTATTCTCTCTAAAATATGGGAACATACAACTGTCTGGCTTTTCTCCAAAAGAAAAATCTTATTTTTAGATTCTTTGTAAAGGATAGTTAAGTTCCAAAATACACATCTTCCAACTGTCCCTTATGCCTGCAACAAAAATATACGACAGTACAGATCAGACTACCCAGGAAGTTTCGCATCCTTACCAAATCCATCATTAAAAGTGCTTCTGAAGCCACTTGTACCTGAAATGGCTCCTGAAATACAAGGGAAAAACAACATCAAGACGGAGGCGATGCCGCCAGTGGCCCCCAAGCACTCCCCCACATCGGTGCCGAGGCCCTGCCCAATGGGCAACGCTTTGCTTTGGCCCCCTGGCCTGGCTTGCCCACAAGGACAGTGCTGCTGGCCCGCACCACCACGAGCCCAGCCCCTCAAGCCTTGCTTGCTCACACCGACTGTACCGATGGTATGCCTGTCCTGCTGCAAACCCAGCCCTTTGAGTCTCCCAAGGACCTCGAAGAGCCACAAAGTGGGGGGGGCAACAAAGAGTGTCAGGGTGATGGGATGTGGAAGGAGGCTACGGCGGGCCACCAAGGGTGACGGCAGAAACATCACCATGGACGTAGGCGACTGGGAAAGTGAGGGAGCGTCACACTGAGTGAGGGCCGTGGAGCCTGGATGACGCACTGCAGGGGAGTGTGGAAGGCTATGGACCAGAACTGGGACAGGGCGATGGCCCATGCAGTGCCCCCAGGGACCAGATCGAGGGCTGTCCTTCGGCTCATGGCAGGGCACTTGGCCTGCCTTGCCTCATGGAGCTCCGAGGGATCCACAAACTTGGATGGAAAATCATTCCAATCTCATTTCCACTACCCTTCAGCTCCTTCGCAATCCTATGTATTCTACTGACAGCACTGACAGCCATGACGCACAGAAGGGGCCCGTGGGCTGCATCAGAGACCGCCTGGCTGTGGGGTCCTGGCCACATAAGAGGTGCAGCACCCCGGTCCTCTGGCCTCTGCTCAGACACATGATGTCAGCTTCACAAAGGCAGGAAACAACTCAATGTCTGTGCCCTACATGGCCCAGTGAAGGGCTGAGCATACTGTGGCTCTCCACGAGAGGAACCAATGGAGGTGACCCTCCGCATCCCCTCAGTCACAAACCAAGGGGCAACAAGTACCTGGTTTGCTTCGCTGAAGAGACTGCAAGGAATCAGCTGGAACGGGTCAAAGGAGCTGCAAAAGGAAACGTTTTCCCTGTTAGTACAATTAAGGGAAAAGTCAGGAAGGTCACTCCATTAAACATTTTTAAAATACCAACAATAACAGAAACATCACAAGAGAAAAGTAACCTGGCTGCAGACTATTCTACAGTGTGGATCCCATGGCACAAGTGGGTGGACACTGGAGGGACCTTCCCAGCCCAGGGAGCTCTGTGACCACTGAAACAATACTTGGGGACACATGGGAAGGACAAGGGCAGGAGCCTCGAGAATTGTGTGAAGACCCCCCCACTGCCAGGTGCAGTGTGCACGGGCCCAGACGTGATGACCCCGGGAGAGTGGGGATGGGCTGTGGGCAGAGCTAGGGATGGGGGTACCCTCACCGATGAGATCTCAGACTCCCCGCTCTCCCTGGGACATTCATGGGACGCACCGCTTGCACTTTGCCTAGACGGACCTCTCAAAGCCAAAGTCCAAAGATGCTAGAGTGGAAGTGGTGAAGATGGCACGCAGCAGGAGCTGGGCATCCTCACCAGCTGAGGGCCCACACCGCCCATGCAGTGGACGACCCCCCTGCAAAGACCTAAACATTATAGGAACCTACGTGACCTAGCTGCTCCTGGGGACATTCATTCAACCTTTAACAACAAATAAATAGCCAAGGGGTTACCTTTTGGGGAGCCTGGGGGCCCTGGGAGCTTTGGTGGGTTTGTTTTTTTCTTCTTCCCTCCTTCTGGCTAACTCCTCAGCGGAGAGATGCTGAAAACAAAAAACCGCTTGACCAAACAGCCCTCTCGCCTGGACAAGGCAGTGGGTCAAAGCTGAATCCATCTGAAGACATGCCTCCCTCCCCTTCCCGTGCCAGTTCCTACATCTCCTGCTGGACACAAGGACACGCTCCAGTGTGAACAGTCTGGTCGAGAACTGGGCCCACTCCCACCCAAGCAAACATCCAGAAGAGAAGCACGGCCAGGCAGAAGGAGAATAGGGGATGCTGGATGCCAGGTAAGGAGTCTGGATGACTTTGGTCACATCTCTGTCACGTACGGAGTAAAGCTACCATTAAAAAAACAAACCAAAAGTTCCCTTCAGCTTCTGTTCAGGCCAACACAGGAAAAGCCTCCATATGCAGTTTACTCAGATGTCTCCTTTTGGTGGGGGTCACATGGTGCTGCCAGTGAGGCCAAGGACCCAGGAGACAGACAGCTGCCACAACCCTGCTCCCCCATCTTGGAAAGACTACTGTGAAGCCTAAAACCAGTGAGTGCCAGGGAAGGGACCACCCTGAGAAAAAGAAACAAAGGCTTAGGCTTCAGACTCTCTCTCTCTGTCTCTCTGTCTGTCTGTCTGTCTGCTGTCTGTCTGTCTCTCTCTCTCTCTCTCTCTCTCTCACACACACACACACACGACTGGAGGGCCAGGCAGGTGGGCACCTATACTGGTGCTAAGGCTCAGGAAAAGCTGCAGGATGGAGGGGAGCCCTTGAAGTACAGGGGAGGATGGAGGGCATTCCAGCATTCCAGGCCTGGGACAAAAGCACAGAGGTGGGGGCAGCTAGGTGGTGCAGTGGATAGAGCACCGGCCCTGGAGTCGGGAGGACCTGAGTTCAAATCTGCCTCAGACACATAACACTTACTAGGTGTGTGACTCTGGGCAAGTCACTTAACCCCAATTGCCTAACCAAAAAAAAGCAGAGGTGGGAAATGGAGTTCAGAGAGAAGGCCACTGGGGCCATCCACCGCTGGACAGGAGTCTCCTTTCAGATGACAGGAGCCCTCAGATCACTGAACAGGGAACCATGCAGCCAGTGGCTGAGCTGAAGGGAATCCCTTTGAGACAGAAGACAAGCTGTCAGTGTGGCCCAGCCATCCTGGGACATCCTGACAGGCCCTGGCTGGCTCTGTGAGCTCAGGCAGAGGTGGGAGATGGGGAGCTCCTCAGAGCCAGGACCTAAGCCAGGCCTTTGCCCTGAGCCCCTGTGCTCAGTGACAGAAGCTGCGGAGAAGAGGGGTTCCCTGCAGTCCCAACCCCAGAGCACCTTGATCTGGGGTAAAGCGGTGAGGGGACGGCAGGAGAGCCAACTCTGCCCAGAGGTGAATGAGGCAGTGACAAGGGCAGAGTCTGCATTGTGCTCAGAGGCTCAGGAACACTGCCAATGAAGAAAGAGCCTCCTCTCAGACGGGGAACCTCTATGGTTAGGGTATGAGGTCTCTAAGGGCCTTCCCAGATGTTGTGACTTACACGTCTGAAGCTCCACACATCCTAACTGCCATCTTTTCTTTTACCCCATTTCTAGGTTGCACTCACTCATCACCACTCTCTCTAATTCAGAGAATGACAAGTGACTTGGGAGGGAGAGGGAAGGAGGCTAGGTTTTTAAAACAAGGGGCTCCGACGGCTCAGAGGGGGACATTACCTCAAATGTCTGGCCTTCCAAGTCCCGGGCATCACACCAGTTCCCCCACGGGTCTCGCACACGTCGCCTGCGTGCTCGCTGTAATGAGAAGATTAAATTAAACATTATCAATCTATTCAAATCAAATCGCTGACAGTGACGGAGTTTAAAATGATGACCTCTCTAGTCAATGCAGTCATCCAATTGTAACAGAATCCTAGCATCGATGTAGAAATTAAAAATAATTGGTTTAACACCACTCTGGCAGATCAGGCTGTTTTGGGAGTAGGTTTACATGTGAATTTGGAAGCACCTGGGTTTTTTTGTTTGTTTTTTCGCTTTAGCAAAATTATATAGCTACAGCATTGAGTGGAAGCTAGACAAATGAAAGGCTAAGTGGGATGTCAGTAAAAAAAAAAAGACACTTTACCTGCCAACCCAATGCATGGACACATGACACAAACCGTCAATGACGCAGGGGGTGGAGGGGAGGACAGAGGGAGGGTGGAAGATGGCCAGGAGGCCCTGGAGGGCGGCTCACCATCGGCTGCAGCCGCTGCGCTAGCTGGTAGGCTTCTGCTGCATCTCTGCCGTCTCTGATTCGTGTCTTCTCCGCGGCCTGCGGTCTGTTATACACGGCCTGCGGTCTGTTATACACGGCCTGCTCTATGGGAAGCCAAACACAGTGTCAACTTCTACTTTTCATGAAACGATCTTAGAGGAGACTGACTGACATTCAGGAGATACAAGGAAGAATGGGATCCTGGAAGTAGGAAATGTGGCCTGCCCACTGTTCTGGCTCGGGAGTGTACAGCACCCAGGCCCTTTCCCAAGCCATTGCTGAGGGGCTCTCAAGAGCACTGAGCTCCCACCCCTCCCTCCCTGGATCTACAGACTCCATGAGCCACCGACACTGAGGATGGCAGTCAGCGGCAAGGGCCCCTTTAGACTGAGCTGTGGGGCCTACGAGGTTTGGGGGCACAGAGGCAGCTTGGTGGTTCTCATGCAACACGAGTTTCCAGAATAACGCATTTTGTACTCAACAAAATATCCTCTATGCTCAGGGCACTTTCAAAATGAGAGCTAAGGAAGCACTTCTACTCTGTCTCAAAACTGGCCAAAAATGCATCTCCAGTCTAGTCCTGAGGGATTTCCTGCCTGGAAGCAGAAGAACATAGCGACCACCTTTCCTGAGTGTTTGATGACCAGGTATGAGGCTCCAGCTTGGGATGGGTTTATCAATGAGAAACAGATGCGTGCTGCCTGCCCAAAAACACCCCTAGAAATTCACTTCTTTGTTGGATGCGTGCACCTTCATAATACAAAGGGACACCCCCTTCTGTTTTTAGATGCTTCTGTTCAGGGGAAGTTTGGTCTAATTACTTCCTAATTTTCAATTATATACTGTAATGCTAACTAAATAATAAAAGATATAAATGCAGTTTTAAAAGACACCCGGAGATGGGGGGCTGGGGAGGAACCTTCTTGGAAACAATGTTGGGGTGTTGTTCTTTTAAATGAAAGCTTAGCAACCACTATTTCCTGGGATATTAATTTGGTCACTAATATTCAAGCAATTTTTTTTTTTGGTTAGGCAATGGGGTTAAGTGACTTGCCCAGGGTCACACAGCTAGTAAGTGTTATGTGTCTGAGACTGGGCTTGAACTCAGCTCCTCCTGAATTGAGGGCCGGTGCTATATCCACTGCACCATCTAGCTGCCCTCAAGCAATTTTTAAGAGGGGGTTTTGGTATTTGGGGTATTACCAAATCACCTGCATTTTGTGAGTTAAGTCTGGGTACTATCATTGACTCTTGTGTTAAATTCCTTTTCCTTTATCTGATTTTTAAAGAACCAGATTGTCTTCTATGAGGAATTTTCAAAGGCAGGTCAGGAAGAAAATGTTAACAAGCCAATCAAAAGAAAGGCTTCTTAGCTAACTGTTCAAGAAAATGTCTCTTCTTTGAAGTTATCAAAGGTATTAGCAAATGCTGCAAAGATAAAAATGTAAATAATTTTTTCTTTTTTACCACATCCAAAATTGATTGCTCCTATTAATTCCAGGTATGTGTGTATCCGTCCAATGCAGTTAACATCGCCACAGTTCTTCAGGCCTGGACGCACTGAGGTCTTATTCAAATATTTCGGTTTGCATTTTTCCCTAATATTTTGGAAATATAAAAATCAAAATTTCATTTCTACAATAACATTTTAATACTTGTCATTTCTCAACATTTTTTTTCTCAGTGTATAGTAAAACTTTCCAATGCTCTAATATAACTTTCTCAAAGGAAGCTATCCTTCCAAAGTAAGAAAGGGAAAGATTTCCGTGATAGTTAAAACAAATCCAATCATTTGAAAAGTTATGCAGTAACTGACAAGGTATAGCAGCATCATGTTTGCAACTAGGTTTTCCTTTTTTTTTAAACTATTTATTTTTAGTTTCAGCATTCACTTTTATAAGATTCTGAGTTCTAAATTTTCTCTTCCCACCAAGATGGCATGCAATTTAATATAGGCCATACATGTACAATCACGTTAAACATATTTCCACATTAGTGATGTCATAAAGAAGAATTAGAACCAAAGGGAAAAACCACGAGAAAGAAACAAAACAAAAAAAAGAAAAAAAAAAAGAGAAAATAGTGTGCTTCGATCCGCATTCAGATAGAATATTCCATCTTGAGTCTTTTGGAATTGTCTTAGATTCTTGCATTGCTGAGAAGAGCTAAGTTTATCAAAGTTGGTTACTACACAGTGTTACTGTTACTGTGCACAACGTCCTCCTGGTTCTGCTCACTTCACTCAGCATCAGTTCATGCAAGTTTTTCCAGGCTTTTCTGAAGTCTGCCTGCTCAACCTTTCTTATGGAACAACAGTATTCCACTGCATTCATATAGCACAACGTGTTCAGCCATTCCCCAAATGATGGGCATCCCCTCATTTTCCAGTTCTTGGCCACCACAAAAAGAGCTGCTATAAATACTTTTCTACACGTGTGTCCTTTTCCCATTTGAATGATCTCTTTGGGATACAGCCCTAGAAGTGGTATGAAGTGGTATTGCTGGATCAAAAGGTACGCAGTGTTACAGCTCTTTGGGCATAGCTCCAAATTGCTCTCTAGAATGGCTGGATCAGTTCACAACTCCACCAACAATGCATCAGTGTTCCAATTTTCCCATAGCAACTAGGTTTTTCTCTGACATTAAATTCACCAGATTTTAGTTACAAAGAGGCTGGAAATTATAAACATATGCAAATGCAGATCTGGTGTTTTTTCAGAAATAAGCTTAGAGAACTGAATTTTAAATGTATTTCATATTATTTTTAAATCACATTCATAGTTCATTATTGGGGAACATCTGTTCCTATTCTGACACAGAGTGAATTTTAAAGTTGAAAATAGAGGCAGTGCTACCTAACAAAAAGAAGACTGGTTCTGGAGTCCCAGGCCCTGGGTTCGAATCTCACCTAGGCTGCTTCCTGACAACGTGATCTTGGGCCAGTCACCTTTTCCTTCTCCATAAAGTGAAGGAGTGTCTACAATATCCCTCTGCCTTTTGATCCCTTGCTTAGACTCTTTTTAAAGTCTAGGATTTTCTTTCAGAATCGTACTCGTTGAGAACATCACCTGCACTAACACTATCACAAGAAGATGATGTGCCTCGCATAAGGTCCTATACATGAGGTCATCAATGATTGTTGACAACAATCATGACAATAATAACGAACATTTATATGGCACTTCTCATACATGACACCATTTTAGGTGCTTTGGGCCCAATGAACCCATCTCACAGAGGAAGAAACTAAGGTTGAGAACAGCCACGTGAGCTGCCCGCATTCAGACACAGGTCTCCCTGACTCTGAGCCCAGAACTCGTGATGCCAAACGGACTCCACGCAGCCTTTCAAAGTGAGTGTTTTGGTGGCTGAAGCCTCCCACCTCTCTTCCAAGACATCCCCCATTTTCATGGTCGCTCCCTCTCCCCTTGGCATCAGTGGAGAAATGCCTGGCTCCTGTCAAGGATGTCCCACTCTGCCCCTGTCCTGCTGAGATCAGTCTGGGACGCCTGAACCCAGAAGAGAGAGCGTCCACGTGGACCAACAGTGGCCAGGACTCTTGTGCCGCCACAGACCGTCTTCCGTGCCTCCATCTCTACCCAGAAGATGGATGCGCAACACAGCATCTCGTGGAGCCCAAAAAGGAAAGAGAAGAAAGGGGGGAGGAGGAGGACAACTGCAGTCTTTTCTTCATCCCTGACATGCTTCCCTTGGTAAGGTCTCAAAGACAGGCATGAACATGGAAAGCCATTTCTGGGGAGGAAGGTCAATGCCAGGACTCCTGCGCCGTCTGACAGAGCTAGACCTGATGCTGGTGAGTCTGAACGGCGAGGGGCACCCGCACATGGAGCCAGAGAGCTCTGGTGCTGGGCAAAGAGGAGGCCTAGGTAGTTTTACAATCTTGTGCAAATCTCCTTCGCTCTCTGAGGCTCCATTTCCTCATCTGTAAAATGGTAACTCTACCTACCTCATAGGCTTGTGTGTATATATGTGGGGGGAAAAGGGGAGCAAATTTAGGGTATTGTATCAGTATTAGGTATTGCCACAGCTCACTGAGACACAGCATTGGAGAGCCTAGTCTCCCCGCCATGCACAGTGTTTTAAATCCATAAGCCAACGGGAGCCTCACTACCAAAAGGATTAGTCCCATCTTACAGATGCCTGAACAGCAGGCTCACAGAAGTTACAAGAAGCTCTCCTGACACATGGTGGCCATGGCCCATGCTATCCAGCTCCCAGTACAGGACCCTCCAGAAGCCTTGTGACTCATCCAGGGCTTGCTCCTTTTCCTTCCTGCCTCCCCAACCGTCGCCCTCTGCCCTGGACTCGGGCGCTGTCCCACATCCCACATGCCCACTGTGCCAGCAGAGGAGGGTTGATGGTTAAAGCAGAACTCCCTGAGGCCTCCTCAGCATCCTCCTCCACTTCGCACTCAGCCTGCTCCTCTCCCCTACAGGGACCAGGCCCTCGTCCTTCGCCTCCAATTGTTTCAAAGGCCTCCTGATGCGTTTCCTCTCATCCCCAACACTGCTGCCAAGAGAACTGTCCTTAAGCTCCGCTAGGACCTCGTCACCCTCTGTGGCTCCGTACTGCCTCCTCTGCCCCGGCCCCTCCTTCAGGACCCACCCTGTAGGTGTAGGGTGGCCTTCTCTCCTGGCTCAGACAGCACCAACTCCATGAGACTACCCCTGGTTCCCCCCCTCCCGCTGTCCTTAGGTCACTTAGATCCACCTGTGCTCTGGGGGGGTCTCTCCCCTTAGAAGGGGCACAGGGCCTGGCAAAAAGGAGGGGCTGAGGACTTGCTGACTATGACTACCCTGGACCACTGCGATTGGCCCGGCCTCCTCCTCTCTTCACCACCTTCCCTGCTGGTGGCTTGTGGCTAACATGGGACTCGGGGTGGGACACCAAGCCTGGAATCTGGCCTCAGACACCTGTGAGCTATGTGAGCCTTAGTTTCCCCATCTGCCCAACAGGGATGCGGCAACCCTGAAAGCCCTCTAGACACACGCTGCCCAGCTAGTCAGCTGACTCACCACCCTCTGCTGGCTCCCTATCGCCAACTGGAAAAAAAGCAGAAACTCTTTCTCAATGTGGCCCCGCTACCCTGAACACATCCATTAACATCCCAGACAAACCAAATCCTTGCAACAAGACCCAGACTTTTCCACCTCCACACCTCTGCTCGAGATAGTCTCTCCACCTCCAAAACCTTCTTCTGGCCCATCTTTGCTTTTTAAAAATTCTCTGCACCCTTCAAAGCCCAGCCCAAGACCATGCTCTTCATAAAGCCTTCTCTGAGCCTGAGATCTCTTCCTTGGATCCTTGGAAAGAGAAAAGGTGGTAGGTACATGCTGTTCTATGAAACAGAAACGTTCTACCTCTTTTGATTTCCCATCCCACAATCCACTCCCTCTAATAAACAAATGCCGATGCTGGAGCAGAGAAGGCATAATGGATGAAGCTTCGGGAAGAGCAGCAATAACCTGGGCATTCAGAACCCCGAGTCCTGTCTAGTTCTGAGACTAATCAAAGTGCTCCCAAGGACACACAAAGGGAGCCAGAGTCTCAAAATTTCATTCCGATATGATTTTGTTTCTTACCACTGATCCAAAATGTAATTCCTAATCTTCAAATAGCGTTCTGGTGTCTTGGCCTGGCGGCCCTCAAAAAACTCAGGGATGGCCTGCTTCTCCTCCTCCTGAATGGTGTCTCTGTTGACTTCCACCTCCTGCTCGGGCACTTTGAATGGCTCCCCCTCTTCTGGGCTCTCTTCGTCCACTTGGCAGGAGGGGTAAAAAAGCATCTCACAATCGAGGATGTCCTTCGGCCCTCGGCCAAGCCTCGGGCCAGCTCCCTGCTCGCTGTCCCCCAGTGAGGTGCTCCCTTCCACACCACCACTGGGATTAGATGTCTGATCGTTGTCTACCTGGTCACATCTCCCACCATTGCAGCTGGACTTCTCCAACTGGGAAGCAACTCCCGAGGCAAAGAGCGCCTCCCTCTGCCCTTGCGAGGCACTGTGAAGGTCCTTCCTGGGAGCTGCAGAAACGGCATGGTCTTGTCCCACAGGAGGAATGAACCCTTGGGGGTGCGTTTCATGGTCTGTATTACTGGAAACATCAAATAAAAGAACACTTCTGGGATTCCTTAGGGGGATGTGAAAAAATTCATCTGATTCATCAGTGATGTCCACTTCTTCATCATCGGATAACGCCTCAATTTTTACAGCATTCAGATTAGAGTCAGCATGCCCTTGTGGGCCTAATGAGGCATCTGGGGGCTGAAGGTGACTGCTGCTCTTCAGCTTGGGCACGCCTTTTCCCAGACCATCTAATTTCGTCTTACAATTTAAAAAAAAAAAGAAAAGGAATATTTTACAACTTAAATAAGAGGCACAAAACAAAGAGAACACTGTTAACCTGAGTCTCATGAGTATCCTTAATAGTTCATTTTTGCACAGACATGTACACATGCAAACACTGACCTCTTCACGTTTCAAACTCATTCAGCTTCCTCACTCATTCAGGCTCTGGTCATTCCTATTCACTAAGTAATTCAGACCTTGCTGTATTCACCAAGAAGGAGAGCACGGCCCACTTTCTCAGCTGTAAAATGAGTGTTGGGCCTGGCCTCCAGCTCTGGGTGCTATGTTTTTAAGACACCAGAAAACCAGAAGCACCCAGAAGAGGACAATGGGAATTGGGGGGTGGATGGGAAGGGAGAAGGAAAACAAGAGGGCTCTCTAAGCACTTAAAGGTCTGGGGTGTGGAGGAGTAATGAATGAGATTGCCTTGTTCCTGGCCCTGAAGCCCGAGGACCTGTACCCCACCTGTCTGACCCTGGGCTAGTCACCTCCCTTCCAGGCTAGTCCCAATCATCTGTAAAATGAAGGGTGGGGCTCGGAAGTCTCCAAGCTCCAAATTTACAATCCTATGACCCAAGAGTAATATGTGGAAGCTGCAGACGACCTAGGCTCAATGTAAGGCAAAGGACTCTAACAGCAGAAAAGACGGCTAAAGCCAGGTAACCAACTCAAATCCAATCACCATAGTCAACAAACACCTCCCGGAGGATGTCGTATGAACATACCCCACTAAGGCACAGAGGAGATTCGGTGCCCTCCGTGACATCCCTGTCAGACCCTACCAGTTTCATCAGAGGCATTAGGCAGGGGGCTCTTAATAAATGCACAACCACACACACCATGCTTCACAGGATTTATTTTGTGACAGAGCCTCCAAATGATGATAACTTGGGTGGGTGACGAGGGAAAAATTTTCAAATTTGGGTGGGCTCAATGTAGAGTAACATAGAGTTAAAAGAATGCTGGATTTGGAAGCAGAGAAGATGAGTAATCCTCATTTTTTGGTAATTAATCCTGTGGGTTTTTGTTTTTGCTAATTTAAGACCGTATGCTAAAAACACATTTTAAAGTTAAGGAAATCATTCAATTCCACAAAGAATTCAACAGTCATTTACTAATGCCCATGGTGTGCCAGGCAGGTGCTGGGTACACAAACATGGAACTCACATTCTACTAGAATTTCAGAGGAAAGGTTGGCTTATGATTGCCAGTGTTTGAGCTGAGGCTCAAATTGACTGAAGGGTCAATATTGTGACTTGGGGAATTGCACTGACATTTCCTACACTTGATCTACTTGTCTAGCTCAGTATACTTTGAGGATGTGCATCACTGATGACGTGACACTTTACAATAAGACGTCAGGCCTGAATTGAAAGCCTTGTGTTTTCTGTTTACTACATTCAATGGGAGGTGGTTTCTTTTTTCTGTTTTTCTAAATGTCGTAATTTACCATTAACTGCACTATCTAGGTCCTACTTACCTTCTTCTTTAAGTACTGTCTGGCGTAACTTCTGACTTGTAAAACATTTCGGCTTCCTATTAGTTTTGCAATTTTGGTCCACCTCCGGCCAAACTTGGCCTGCCGTAGCAAAAAACAGACATTTTAAAATGTTTTTGTCAGCTTGGAAATAAAGCCTGGATAGGTATGTCCTCTTAAAAACTACAACAACAAAACAGAGCACTCATCACAAAACTGTTTTCACTTTCCTTCGAAAGCTAATGAGTGAGCCTATAGTTAATCAAATCATAATTACTGCTGACCTGTGAAAACTGATGACCCCATGCAGTTAGGCAGCACAGGCTTGGAGTCAGAAAGAGCGGAGCCTAAATCCTGTCCCAGACACTTAACTCACTGTGCGCCTGTGGGCAGGCCACTTATCTTTCAGCAGTTCCCTCATTTGTAAAATAAGGATAACATCAGCCCTACCACACAGGGCAATTGTGGGGATAACATGAAATAACACGGGTAAAGTACTTTGCGAACCTTAAGAATGAAAATAAAAATAAAAATAAAAATAAAAAAAACTCATGACCCCTCCACCCTAAACAGTGCAAGACATTCCCAGTTACGTGGGCTTTTAAGAAATAAGCAATCCACCAATTCTATACCTATTCATACTGATGAACAGCTTATATAAATAGAACAAAGCTCTTTCAGAGTCCAAGAACAAAAGTCAGACAATAATCATTCATGAGAAAAGAGAACAGGTTTCTTTTCTCATCTTTAAGAACCATCAAATACCACTACTCCTCCCTAGGTACAGGTCTTTCACAAGGGCAGTGGCGGTTAACTCTGGGGCCTATTTCCCAAACCCATAATGACACCTGTCTACTCTGGATCCTCTCATTCTAGATAAGTCTACAGGTAGTCTCTGCCCAACTAAAACACCAACAAATGGCTGCCTTTGCCCCTGCACTGCTCAAAAAAAAGGCGGAGGAAGAGATGTGGTTATATCTGCATTCAAATATTACCAGGGTGTCAGAGTAAAGATAACATTATCAAAAAGCTCACATTTAAGATTCAATCATATTAATCTCATTTAATAATCTCTGAAATGTATAAACAAATTTCCAAAGACATGAAAAACCCTATTTTGGACATTCAGCAGCATCTAATAGTAAATATATTCTGTATTTTTTTTTTAACAAGAGGGTACATGGAAGATATATCACAGTTGTGCTATGTGCAGTTTTTCTATACTGATTACTATAAACATTCAAACTGATATTTATGAAGCATTTATGTAAATAGGTTGTTTCTGGTTTCTAATCCATTTTGATTGCTTGCAGAATTCCAGATGCCCATGCGGCAGTCACTTAATCCCACTGCCTAATCAAAAAGGAAAAAAAAAAAGAATTCCAAATGCCTGAATTAAAATGAAAATTTTAGGCAACTGCCAAGAGATTAATGATCCAGATGAGCAGGCATTAGGTAAAGAAACATCGAAGAACTAGGAGGATTTTTCACTTTTTGTCTTGATACTTGGCATCATATAGTCTAATTTCTCTAGGTTTGTTCTAGACTAGAAAAACCTTCGTTTGTGGGTTAAGGCTGCTTAAATAAATCACAATGACTTTAGTGGCTTACTATGTCAGGTATCATATTCTAGATCTAATTTATTATTTCATTTGCCTCTAGAAAAAATGTGAAAGTTGCAATTATAAAAAATTTCTGAATTGGAAATACATAACACTTGATCTTTTCACTACCAGCTGTCACACCTATCTGTGCCTAGGAACAGCCAGAGCTGCTAGAATAATTTTATCTGAAATGATAAAAAGGCTCTTCTTTACCAGGCCTTGCTCAAACAGCTCTTTTTCTCCCACCGTCCACTTGACTGAGTGACTGGCTGGCTTTGTAGGTGACCGAATCCTAAAAAAGAGAGCGGAAAAGAAATAACATGAAAAAAAGATCACAAATAAACAACTAATATCTGATACAACCAGAAATCATGTGGTTATGGGCTGCACTCAAATTCTGAGGACCAAATTAGGGAAGTTACAAGTTCAGGGGCACTTCGGAGGCACATTCTTTTGGAAAGAATGGGGCTAACACCAGGGAAAAACCATAAAGGGACCACAGTGTGACAGGCATCAGGAACAAGCTGCCTGCCTTCAGGCAGGAAGCAAGATCAGCCGATACTTGCTAAATCTTTGAATCATAAAAGAAACAGGAAGCCTTGGGACTTGGCTTCTAAGCTTCTCAGAAATCAAGTTCTCTTTTCTTCCTTCCCTTTCCAGAATTCTGCCTCCCTCCAATCCCTTGTCTCCTCTGACGCTTCAGAATCTCTGCATTTTGACTACTCCATATAATTAATGGCAAGAAAAACCAAATGAGATAAAGGAGCTAGATACATCTATGTACTGCTTTCACGTCTTTAGAACTTAGTAATATCTATATGTCATTATCTATCTATGTAGATAAATGCATATATAGTCAGTGGGCTAGTTGACAATATTCCCTTCATGAGCTTAGGGAGGTAACCTAATTTGTCCATCTCAAATAATTTTTTTCAAAAATCTATCTTGATTTATCAACAATCACTTCATAAGCTTTTGAGTTTTAAATTTTTCTCCCCCTCTCTCAAGACAGCACACAATCTGATATAGACTATACATATACATTCTTATTAAACATATTTTCACATTAGTGATGTTGTAAGGAAGAATTAGAACCAATAGGAGAAACCACCAGAAAGAGGAAACAAAACACAACAGAAGAAAAAAAAGAGCAAATAGTATGCTTCAATCTGCATTCAAACTCCATAGTTCTTTCTTTGGATGTGGATAGCATTTTCCATCATGCACCTCAAATAACTTTTTAAAAACATTTAAAAATACTCAGAGACAGTCCAGTGCTCAAATACCTGGCAATTACAAGACTACCTTTACTAGTCTATGCCTGAACAAGTGACAAATGTAGTCCCATCAGCTCCTGAAGATGGACAGAGAGGAAACCTGCAGATGCTTTTTTCAGAATGCAAATGCACATCAAAATATCTTGAGAAGAAATATCTTCGATAAGAATATACTCAATTCTTCATTCATTTCTGTTTCCTCTGAAAAGGAAAATGACCATTAGACTGAAAATGACAAAAGAGAATGGATAGGGAGGTGATCCCTGAGATAAGAGGAGGAGGACGCCTTGGCCCAGAAAAACTGCATGCTGGGGTCCTGAGAAAACTGGCAGATGCTTTAAAATAAGCCCATCAGTGAAAGATCTAGGGAGATGGGAGAGGTCAGATACTGGAGAACAGCCAACATAACTGAGTTTTAGAAAAGGAAAGAGAACAGAGCCTGCATATTGGCCAATGAGCTTAATGGATTCCTGCAACAATTCTAGAAAAGCTTGTTAAAGGGATGGCTGGCGAACACTGAGAAAGGAAGCAATGATTACCAAGCGCCTGCACTGGCTTCAGCAACCAGGTGGGCCAGGCTAACTTTTTGACACAATTACTAAATTAGTGGATAAGAAGAATGGCACAGAGATAGTTTAGTTGGGTTTTAGCAAAGCTTTTCCTGAAGTATCTCACACTATTCTTGTAGAGAAGATGGAGAGACCTGAGTAAGGGAATAATACTACCAGAGCGCTGCAGAACCAATTGGACAGCTGGACTCAAAGAGTGTATTAGCTGTAAACGGTTTAACTTCAGCCTGCCAGGTCTCCAGTGGACCATCCTAAAGATCTGTGCTGGACCCTGTGTGGGTTAGCTTTTTTATCAGAGACTCAGATAAAGGGGTAGAGGGCATGCTCAATCCAATGGCACCATGCTGGGAGAGACAGTTCACACTGGATGAGAAGCAGGACCTAAATGTACGTTTTCAGGCAAAAGAGCCCTGGGCTAAGCCTAGTAAAATGAAACTCAACAGGGATCAACGTAAAGTCTTCTCAAATGAGATAACTGTCAAATGCTTAGCACAATCCCTGGCACATCTATGTGTCATATAAATGCTTATTTCCTTTCTCCCCTCGTACCCAAGTAGAAAAACAAAACAAAACAAACAAAAAAAACAATTCACAAGTATGAGGAGAATTCAGAGATAGAAAGCAGCTGTGAAAAAGACCTGGGAATTTTAGGGGCCTGTGAGCTCAGTATGAGTCAGCAGTGGCATACACAGAGGAGCACAATTTCAGGAACAGAGGTGACAGCCTCACTGTACTCCGCCTTCCCTTGGAGCCCTGTGTCCAGTTCTGGCCACGCTGATGAGCTGGAGTGTCCAGAGGAGGAAAGCCAGGATGGCAAAGGGCCTGCAGTCCATATCTTATGATAAACCAGTGGATGGAACTGGGCACATTTAGCCTGGAGAAGCCTCAGAGGGACCCAACAACTCTTTTCAAGCATTTGAAGGGCTGAACTGTAAAGGGGCTAGAATCCTGTTTGGCCCCAAAGTGCGGAACAAGGACTCGCTAGTGGAAAGTGCTAAGAGAAAAAACTGAGGCTCAACATCCAGAAGACGTTCAAACACACAACTGTCCACAACTGTAATGGGAGGGCGCAGGCAGAGGCAGGACGGCTGCTCATCCAGTACATTACGAGAGCCTCCGTTTGTGTCTGGGTCTGCCCTCCCAGCTGCTGAGCTCCCTTCTAACTCCCCAATTCTGTGATTCTTTACTTAGTTCCTTTTGTTTACTCAAAGACTGTTTCTGTTATTCTGGAAATTCACTGCAATGGAACATGCCAGAGAATTCACCGAGCGGCACCTCGTTGTGTGTGGCCTTGTTCAAATCCCATGACCAGATAACACACACATGTCATTTGGAGTCCAGTTTTTCTGACTGACCTACAATGACTCGTCTACAAGGGGCACGTGGTGGTTGGCTGAAATTCACTGCACTCATAGTCAACTAACAAATGATGCTCATACTCGAATTTCCAAAAGAAACCCAACTTTCTCAATGTCTCTCACATTTTCACATAATCCGTGGTCAAGAGAATTTTGTCATGCAGATTTACAAATTACTTTGAGGATAACGTAAAGTAACTCTTACAGTTGAAAAAGGCTTTAAAAACATAAAATGTACATACGTGAGTTTTCCTGATTTTTGTGGACTGTAAAAGATAAAAAGAAGAAAATTATGGTTTCTGTAAAGTATTTAACTTTTTCAAATTTACTACATTCTCCCAAGGTATTGCCCAATTGATTTTTTTTTTTACCTTTTCACACACTTTTTATTACTTTCCTTATGATCAAGCCAGAAATTGTCTGGAAGTGATTTATTAGACATATAATATCTGTGAGGTACTAAGGAAACTTTCTGAAAACAAGTAAAAAATGATGTGTCTCTCATATACATACTGGATGCTATTATCTGTTAAATGAACATCACTATAGATTAAGTTTAAAATGCAATGAATTGCATATATTTAACGTAACTGAAAATATGAGTTAAACTATTTTTTCTAAAATCATATATTAATGATGTAGTGCATTATAGAGCTCATTCCTACCTCAACTGAACTGATAACTAAATTTTTAATGGCATGAAAAGATACAGAGAGTACTAGTAAGGCCTGACCTGACTTACCCTTGAATGCCTGGGAAGGAATGAGAAGAGAACCAAGCAGCCATACTGTCCTCGCCTCTCCCTGCCCTTCATTCTTGTTTTATAAGGCATAGAGGATACAAGGCATGCTTTGTGGGTGAGACGGTCCAGCCTGAGGGCTACAACATACTTCCCTCACATCAACTGAAGACATATGAACCTTCTCCCTCTACAGCAAAGGGTATTAAGCTGTATTTGTATGGTATCGATACCTCTGATATTCTGGCAAGGCCTAGGACCTCTTCTCAGAAGTTTTAAAAGAATACAATAAAACACACAGAATTACAAAGGAAACCAGGTTTGTGAAATCAAAGATGTAATTTTTTTCCCCATTCAAGTTCAGAGACCTGAAATCTGTGGTCTCTGGACCCCAGGTTAAGAATCTCTGCTCTCCAGGAAGCAGAGAGGTTATGCATTCCATACCTATATTCTGTCTCCTCAAACTCAAGCGCCCAAACTCTTCAGATGGCCACTAAGACGGCTTGAGGGACAGGAAGTAAGAGATCCCAATGAAAACATGCCAGCCTTTCCTAGGCAAAATGAGGCTAATTCCTAGACTCAGACAGGGAAAAGCAAAAATCACAACTAAGGATGGGGTGGTGGGTGGCTAACAGAGATGCTCTGATGTCATCGCAGCAACGACTATGAATATTTAGAGCTCAGAATGCTACAGCTGAAATGGACCATAACAGATGGAGTCCAACACTGTCATTTTATTTTATGTTAGGTTGGGCAACAGGGGTTAAGTGACTTGCCCAGGGTCACACAGCTAGTGTTATGTGTCTGAAGCCAGATTTGAACTCGGGTCCCCCTGAATCCAGGGCTGGTGCTCTATCCACTGCTCCACTTAGCAGCCCCAAGAACATTGTCATTTTAAAGATGAAGCCCCAAAGACCCAGAGTGACTATGGGATTTGAACAAGGCCACACACAGCTAGTCAGCAGCAGAGATCAAACTTGAGCCAAGGTCTACTTGCTTCCAATCTAGTGCTCTTCCCACTGAACCACACCACCTGTTACTACATTACTTGATTGTCAGAAGTTTCTTTGTTTTCTTCTGAAATAAAAAGACCTGATTCCTTCACTTGGTGGTATTTCAGTGTTTTACTTGGGTCCTTGAAGATTAACTAGAGGAGGAATGGTCAAAAATCTAACTGGGAAAGATGTAGGAAGCAAGAGACTTGGCACAAATGCTAACCTTGCCCAAGTGCTTGGCTAAGCCAGAGATGGTCCAGCCTACGAGCACTGATGCAGGCATCGACTCAAGCACACTCCACGTGAAGCTGCCTCTATCCGTGTTATTTCCCTCTAACACCATGAACACATTATAATTGTAGAGTCAGGAAATTCCACTGCAAAAGTATTCGGACAATCCCTTATTGAGAACATCACTCCTATGGACCTACCTGTCCTGACTGTAACCATGCCTTTTTAATCTAATGTTTCTACAGCATTAATGAACAACATTAGGCAGAGAGTGCTTAAAATACTGAAGAGAAGGTTTCTGAGAGCTACCACGGACTTTAAAATAATGCTGGTCTTTTGGGGTGAAAGCGTGTTTTTTGTTAAGAGTGGATACCATGGAACACCCTAATGACATTCAGAGAACCAAAGACCTTGGTGACTTTCTCTCAAGTGAAATGACCATCAGCGACTGCTGGTCCAAATTTTATATGTGTAGCTTTTAAAATCTAACTCGATGGGTTTTTTCCTCATAAGCATTAAAGGATACTCTTCTTCCAGCAACATTTTCTCGATGACAGCCCTGTTCTCAGCACTGATGGTATTATCCAGAGTCCAAGGCTATTAAAACAGAAAGGTAATTTTTTTTACACTAATTGATTTTTGAGAATATCTGCTGATATCAGCTAAAAATGTGTGATGTCTAAGTGAAACATCCCACTATGACCTTCTTCAAGATCAAAAGAAATATGGTTTCTTATACTGTTTAAACCAAGAAAAATCTCCCAGGGTGTTACCTGCAATGGCTGACAACAAGGAGAGAAGCAGGAAAATATGGTATTCCAAGATACAAAGCGTCTCTCACATGCACACTGCACAAAGCGAAATGACACAGTCTTCTCATAAAGCACTTACAGTGAGGCCATTACCAGTTCTCCAGGTGGAATCAAGGTAGTGATCTTGCTGTGAACCAGATGCTGTATGTTCCTGGCTTCTGCAACAGACAAGAAAACGGGGGCAAAGATGCTTACAAATGTGAACCTGCCTGGGGACTCTCCTGCGCTGCACGATGCCTGCCGACTTCCTCTCACTGCTTGCGATGCAGTAACTGATCTAGTCTGTGGACTTTGGACCAGCCTCCTCAGCCAAAAGTTGGCCTTCCATGCAGGCTGGGGCCTCCCAGAGGGAACTCTACTCATACAGGCAGAGGGCTTCTCTCACAAAGACAACCGTGAAAGGTGGCTACTACAAGTCCACCCATCCCCATTTCACAGAAAGTAAACTGAGGCTGGCCTGTAAAAATAACGTGCAAAGGACCACATAGTGAATAAGTGCTGGAGCTCGGACTCAAGGCCAGGAGGGCTCAAGTGCTCCCCCTGCTGTCCTGGTCTGCCTTATATGATGGTAGAAGAAGAGCACACAGCAAGGGCTCCTGATGACAATTTGAATCTTTTTAAGGCATCAAGAAAACAGACCTATTACCAACAAGGTCATCTTTAAGCATGATGAAAACCAGAAACGTCAGAAGTGTGATGTGCCAGCCAAAAAAGCCACTGGAATCTGATGCCTGCAGAGTCCCACCGTACATGGCCCTGGTCAGACAACATCTGGAGGACAAAGTCCAGTTCTGATAAGACAGTTTAAGGAGAAGATTGAGAAGCTAGAGTTGCCCAGAGGAGGGCAAAGATCCTTGAGTCCATGCCAAGTGAGAGGAAAGGATGAAGGAAGAAGGGGGACATGAGAGCAGTCTGTAAGCATTTGAAGCCTGGCCATATGAAAGCGGAATTAGACTATTCTGTCTGCCCCAGGAGCAGAACCAAGAGCTAGGAGAGAAGTGGCAAAGAGGCCCACTGAGGCGGATGTCAACAAAGGCTTCCCAACAAAGAGAGCTGTGTGCGGCCCTGAGCAAATTGCTTAATCCAAATGGCAACCATTTTTTTTTCATCTGTAAAAGGAAAGGGTAGTCTGAATGTTAGTTCTGGATTGTCCACTGTGTGACTTCATGCAAACTTCTAATAAAAGGCGGGGGGGGGGCACCTTCCAGCTGTAAATCTTCTGGCTCTAAGACCAGAACTCACGTCTCTTGAAAGTCTGGCACCCAAACACCCTGTTAGCTGAGTCAGCTTTATGCGTTGCCAGGGCTGGGGCCAGGCCAGCCTTTCCTCAAACCGGACTTGACATGGGACCTGAGAGTAGGAGCTGGAGTGGATGTAACGAGGTCTCAGATTCTTAAGACTCTGACTTGAGTTCTAGGGTACAGCTGTTGTTGTTCAGTTGTTTCAATTGTGCTGACTCTCCGTGACCCCATTTGGAGTTTTCTTGGCAGAGATACTGGAGTGGTTTGCCATTTCCTTCTCCAGCTCATTTTTACAGGTGAGGAAACTGAGGCAAGCTGGGTTAAGGGGCTTGGCCAGGGTCACAGAGCTAGTATGTACCTGTCAGATTTAAACTCAGGTCTTCCTGACCACAAGACTAAAGCTCTAGCCACTATACCACCCAGCTGCCTTAGCCTACCGTGGACTTGCTATGAGACAGACATGGGAGCAATGGGACCCTCACCTGCTAAAGGAGAACAGTGGACTAGATCAATCTCTGAGGTCCCTTTCCACCCCTTCCCCTGTTCTAACATTCTGTAACCCGGCATCCCTTTGAGTGCAAGCACCCAAATCCTCTAGGGTCCTTACTAGCGCCAACGCTTCCCGTCCCAAGTTCAGCAGAACTGAATGTAACGTCATTGAGGGCAGGGTTTGTTTCCTTCTTGCCTTTATATCACCAGCGCTAAGAGATGCACCCGCCCCACAGCAAGCAGTTAACAGATCCACGGTGAACTGAACTTCAGCCTTTGCAGCAGAAATCAATCGCTCAATTAACGAGCACTTATTAAGTGCTCACTATGCGTCCAGTACTTTACCGGGTTACTGGTGATACAAAAGCAAAGACCAAAATCTCTGACCCCCAAAGACACACACCCTGCCGGCGGATGGAGCACAAACCCCTACAAGGCAACAGAAAATAGACTCAAGGCCATTTTGAGGGAGGAGGCCCACGTCACATTACAAAGGACCTTAGGGATACTCCACAGAAGAGTGTGCATTTAGGAGCCCACTGTAATAGTCCAGCCGTGAGTCACGGGGGCGGGGCAGGACTGACGAGCCTTTGCAATCCAATCAGAGAGGGAGAGGGGTGAGAGAGGAAAGGCACAGGAAGGGCTGAGGGGGCTGGGACCCCGCAAACCCAAAGAGGCGCAGCAGCCGACACTTAACCAGCACGTCAAGGTTTATGCAGCACTTTACAGCTGCAGCGCATCTGAGCCAGGGAAGTCTGGGGCAGGCTCTTGGAGGCGGAGAGCTCTGGCTTGTACCCGCTGTATTTGGGGTGAGTGAGGATAAAGGGCAAGCCGGAGGGTCAGGGGTCAGGAATCTGAGCCTGGCTCTACGCTCTCTAGACTCCATCGCCCCCTCCCCCCATCTGCGGGGCCTTCCCGCGCCCCGACTTTGGGGACGGGCCCAGGCCGGCCCCGCTCCACCTTCCTCCCACCCTGTGAAGGAAGGGCCTTAAGCTGTAAGCTCCCCGAGGACAGGAATGCGAGGTCCCTGGCCACGCCTGGCGCCCAAATGCGGGTCACGTGGGACAAAGAGCCGCTGACGTCACCAGGAGGGCACAGACGGAGACCCGAGACACGTGCGTGATGCTCCTGCCGAGCTAAGGGTATGCCCGGTCCCTCGACGGAGGCCGAGGAGTGGCCGGGAAGGTAGGGGAGACCCCACGAGGGCGCCCCCCTCCCCACGGTCACGTGAAGGGCTGTACAAAGGCGTTAGGGGCCTGCCTCAGTTTCCTCGTCTGTAAAACGGGCACCTGCTTCTCAGGGGGCGGTCAGGCTCCGACGCGGCCACGCTCACAAAGCGCTGTCGGCGGGCCCCTTCCCGCCTCCCTGGGCCTCAGTTTCCCTCTGTGTACGATAGCGAGCGGTGCCCGGCCCGGGGTCACGCGTGACCAGCACACCAGCGCGACCTTTCCATTTCACTGAGGGAGAAGGTGAGGCCCGCTCGGCCCACGCGCCGCGTCTCCAGCCCCGACCTCGGGCACCACCCGCCCTGTGACCGTGACCGTGACCCCGGCCTGGGCCTCGGGGCAGGTTCTGCCCTAGCCGGCCCGACCCCTCGCCGGCCCGCCCGGCCCTAGCCCCGGCCTCACCCGCGTGGAGGAGGAACGGCCGCTCCGGGATCCCCCTCGATATCCACATCCGCCTCCTCGGCCGCCATGATGGCGGCTCGCGACCCTGCCGTGGCCCCGCGGGACCGCGCTCGAGATCCCGCGAGACTTGGGAGACGCGATGGGGAAGGGAGGGAGCGTCACTAAGAGAGGAGAGGCAGGGGGCGGGGCTACAGGGGAGACGAGTGGTGAGGGCCGGAAGTACAGCGCAGGGGCGGGGCTACAGGGGAGACGAGCGATAAGGGGCGGGTCTAAAGTGAGGGGCAGAGCTAGAGCTCAGGGGCGGAGCCTGGAGAGAAACGTAGGGGATGGAGAGCGCTCTGTGCTGGAAGCCAGGGGGCTCCAAAAAAATTGCACAAGGTGGTGTTCCCCGTGTCCCCCACCTCTAAATTTGTGATGCTGTAAACTTTGTGGCAAGCTGCCTGCCTTGAGAGCTGATAGATTTAGAGCTCACTCGTTTTACTTTATTTTTGCTGTTAACTTTATTTTTGATTGATAATCATTTAAAATTAAACTTTATTTTTTCCACCCCCAAATTCCAATTTTTCTTCTTCCTACCCCTCACTATTGAAAAACAAAAACGGAACTCATAACAAATCTGCATAAATCAAGCAAACCAGTTCCCACATTGTCCATGTCCAAAACCATCGTTTCCTCCTGTGTTCTGAGGGTCACATCCTCTTACTCAGTCTACAAATGACACAGCTAGGTCCTAGGAAGGGAAGGGGCAGGATCAGAGAGGTAGAGCTGGAGGAGATGTCCAAGGCCATTTAGTCCAAATGCCTCATTATACTGGTGGGGGAACTGAAGCCCAGAAAGGTTCATTGACTTCAAATCAGAGTTGGAAGAAGGCCATCTAATTGGAACGTGAAAGAACCAAGTCCCAGGAAACTTAAAGTGAATTAAGATCATAGATTTTGAGGGCGGATTTCAGCTCATTTTACAGATGAGAAACTGAGGCGGATGGAGGTTAAGTGACTTGCCCAGGGTCTCACAGCTAGGGAGTGTCTGAGGTTGGATTGGAACTCAGGTCTTCCTGATTCCAAGCCCTGTGCCACCTAGCTGTCATCTAACCCTTCTGGGGCTTAGTTTCCTCTTGTGTAAAATGAAAGGGTTGAGCCTGATCTAGTTGTTAAGAACTCTAAAACCTTGGAAGGGGCTGAGTAGGATAAGTCTCAGTGGTTGGCTTAGCTGAGATTCCAGCTTTCCTGGAGGGCCATCTTTGCCAGCTCCTCTTCAACCCCTTCCTCTCAGTCTTGCTAAGTAAAGCTCCAGGGCATCATCTGTGCCAGAAGTTGGAAAGAATTCACTCACCCCAGTGCACACAGGTCAGGTGGGCCTGAAGAAGCTGCCCCTGAGAGGGAAAGTAAAATCATTCAAAAAGAGAAATTTTATCTTAGGGAAATTTTGCTGAGCTGCCTCTGTCCACCGCTTAGCGATATCACTCACAAATATGCTAAAATAGATGTGAGGCAGAGGATCTCCACCTTTTTTTTTTATGTCATGGACCCCTGTGGCAATTCGGTGAAACCTACCATGGACCCCTTTTCAGAATCTTATTTGTGAATGCCTAAAATGGTGAAAATAAGTGTGTAATTATTTTCCCATCTAAGTTCATGGACCCCCCTAAATCTATCCATGAATCCCTAAAGGAAGTGTCTATGTCTCCCACCAGGAGAAAAACCCCTTCTCTTAGGCACTGGATTATTTCATTAAAAAGCTGAGGCCACTCCCCTGCTTTTGCAGTTCAGGGAAAATGCAGTAGATGGCAGGCATAGCTCAGCAGAAAACTGACAGATAACCCGCCAGGAGATGCTGTAGGAAAAAGCAGCTAGCCGCAGCTTCAGAGGCAATGAGAGAGGTTTTTTAGCTAGGTCTCAGACGTGTGTATGGGACGTTTCCCTTATTATTTGCTTTGCTCTTCTGTTCCATTTAAATGCCTTTTGCTTTCATTAATGTGTAATCTGGTTTGGTGCATTAAAAAGAAATCATGGGTGGGGGCTCTTGGACTGTGGCTTTGAATAGATATTGACTCAAAGAGTGATTTGAACCTGAGTGCAGCCTCCAGGTGCTCACATCTGATGGAGGTCCCACACTACCTTAAGGTCTAGATACGTCAAAGTCCAAAACGAGAAAGGCTCAAGAAAATTTGAAGAAGGAGAAATCACTTTCAGTTGGGAAGACATGACATCTGAAGGGGGTCCTGAAGGAAAAGGAGGATTTCAGATATTAACAATGTAGAAAGAATGCATTTGAGGCACAGAGAAAATGCCCAGTGTGGAGAATGAAATGAGGGAAGATCCAGGAGCTTCGTTTGGCCAGAAGGTGATGGTAGGAAAATGAAGATGGTGCAATATGGGCCAGAACACTCCATGGAATTTGGTTATCTTAGCAATGGAAGACAGGCCAATATAGACTAAACTTTCCAATGAGTACGTGAGGAACAAGAAGGATTAAGTTAGTTATTCACTGGACTTGGATTTGAATCCAGGCTTTGCTATGTGATCATCACCTGTTTGTAACTTTGACCTCGTCTTGGCTTCAGTTTCCTCATCTGCCAAAGGAGAGGGCTGGAGCTCCAAATCTCCTGATCCTTTGTACTAACATTTCAATACCTCTTCAAAGTGTACAAAGGCATTTCTTCCCAACAAACCACCTCTCATAGTTCCACATTTACTGGTAAAATGAAGACTAGTTCTTTAGATCTGTGAGTTGCATCTATAGAGCCTAATTGGCCAGGTCAGTGGATAGAGAGCTGAATTTGAGTCAGGAAGACCTGAGTTTGAATCCAGCCTTAGGTACTTCATCATTGTAGACATGTCACTTTAACTTCTTGCAGCCTCAGAGATAGTAATTGCGAAGATCAAATAAGATAAGTGGAAAACCCTATACAAATGCTAACTATCATTGTCACTATCGCCAACCAGTCATCATGGTCTCTGCCATTATAACAGATGGGGAAACTAAAGCTTCCAGAGATTCTCATCCAGCTAGTGAGCACCTATGGCAGTCTTTGAATCCAGGTCTGTCCTTGCTAATTTATTATGTCACTTCTCTGTCCCTAGCCACAAGGAGTTTCTAGTCTGGTTGGGCAGGTGAGCTGCTATATGCCCATGTAACAGCTACTGCACCATTACAAGTAATATTCAACAAAGTGTATGTTAGAGAATGTGGTGTCAAAATAAGGGATAGGCCCATCAAGGGCTGAGAGGCATCATGGAGAAGAAGCAGAGCCTTGATTGAAAAATTGACTGACGATGAGGAAGGGGAAGGGAAATTCTAGGAGAGGAAAATCTATGAGGAGGATGGTAATGGGGCTTCCCTGAAGCAGAAGATCTATGTTAGTGAGTAGTAAGAGATAAGATTGGAGAGTGAAAGGAAAGCGGCTGGAGGAAGAGCCTTGAATGCCAGACTGAGGAATTTGGATTTGATTTAATATGCAATGGTAATATTTATGGAGTACTTTAAGGTTTGCAAAGCACTTTGATCCTCACAATTGCACTGGGAGAAAGGTGGTGTTATCCTCATTTTACAGATGAGGAAACTGAGGCAGATAGAGTTGTATGCGCCTTACCCAGGGTCACCCAGCTACTAGGTACTGAGATAAGATTTGAATTCGGGGCTTTTCTGACTCCAGGTCTAGGACTATCCACTGTGTGACCTAGTTCCCCAACAGGGAACACTGCAGAGATAGGGTGATATACAGCTGTTGTCGTTCACTCACTTTTGACTATTTCTGACCCCATTTGGGGTTTCTTGGCAAAAATACAGGAGTGGTTTGCCATTTCCTTCTCCAGCTCATTTTACAGTTGAAGAAACTGAGGCAAACAGGGTGAAGTGACTTGCCCAGGGTCACACAACTAGTAAGTTTCTGAGGTTGAATTTGAACTCAAGTCTTCATGACTTCAGGCCCAGCACTCCATTTACTGTGCCATCTACCTGCCCTAAGATACACACAGTGTTGGATGTGAATACTGGCTCTGCCTAATGATGATGATGATGATGATGATGTCTTTTTTTTTATCCTGTATATCATCATCTTATGCTACATACCATCAAGATGATTTTTCTTATACTATATAAATAGAGAAGCAAAGCAATCCATTCTTAAGGGTCTCACATTCTAAAAGCAGAAGCTTCCACATATAAGGAGGCTTCATCTGCAGGTCAGGTGGGAAGCTGTCCCCTTCCCCGCCCTCTTTAGACAGGGGTAAAGCAGAACATGACACGTCTTTTAAAATGTGATTTCCTTGATAAAATCATATCCACTTCTTACGTTGAATCATTTCAACAGGGGGCTTTGCTGGAAGAGGAGCCGGCAGGCTGGGGGCTTTGCTCAGAGCTGCTGGGCTCCAGGTCCAGGGCTATCCGCATCTGGGTCTAAGGCTCTATGGTTGTTAAGGTGGTGGTGGACTGGCTTTGGCTGCATCATCCAGGTGCTTATAAAAGGCTTGTTAAATTGATTTAAACTGGATATCTCCCTTATTTGACCTCCCACAAACTTGTATTCTTTCTTATGTAGGGTAGCTCCAAGCTTGGGTCCTTTGGGGGCTGGCGAAATTTGTAAGTGAAAGGCAGGGAATTTGAAGTGCAGGCCAATAGGTTCACAGCAGCTACACCTAAATGCTTTTTAATTTTTAATTTTTTGTCTTTCTCCTTCCAGGTCATTTGCTAGACCCAAACGATCTTGTGGGGTGGAGGGAAATGGAGGCAGCTCCCAGCCGCACAGGTCCTGTAGGTTTGTGGTTGTTTTTTATGACAGAGCACTGTGAAATAGATTTTATGGGGCACAAAGCCACCAAATGGTTAAGTGGGAATGATAAGGCTTGGAACAGAGGCGCTGATTCTGCCCAGAAAGAGGAAGTGAGTTCAAAAGAGGCTGAATGTCTCTGGGTCCTAACGACCTGGCTCACTCTTCTGGGTTTCAAAAGAACTTGGCCACCGAGAGCCTAGATTGTAAGATTAGACAGACTTGTATCAGTTTGTATCCTATGACTAACCGTATGAGGGCCCATTCTAAACAGAGCCTCTGGGATCTCAGTGAACGGAGAGATGGCAGAGCCCACTCTTCCTCTGAGAGGGGAGGAGCATCTCAGCTGCACATGAAAGGGTTAGGATGTGACCCCAGG